ATGTTTCTATGAAAATTGAAGCTTTTGTTTTTTTGCAGCCCATATAAACTTAAACCTTGTTTATTTGGCCCATGTTAGCTTTTGAGTTTGACATGCTTGTTCTAGAGTGACTGGCCACAAAACTGCTATTTTTATGTAACTTCAGATCAGTTTTTGTGTGCTTGTTATCCATATGTAATTCAGCACCTTTTGAGTTATGTGGATGTATATTTGCAGCTAAGAACATTTTGTACAATTCAGAGGCATTTCTAGACCACAGTAGGTTAAACATACATGTATACTTCCAACTCATTCAGAGCATTTAGTGGATGCTATCTACACTACTGGAAGTTTCATCAGGGAATGTATTCAACTTTTTAAGGCTCAAGTATAAGAAGGATTAGAAAAGATAAATTTTGCATTGGTAAGATAAGATAAATCTTTTAAGAAATATGTTTAGAGATATGGAAGTGTTGATAATTATTTTACTTCTCACAAAGTGCCAAGGCTCTACATTTATCCACCTTCTACAATTTATTTAAACGAGGCTTGCAAGTTTGACATGCTTGTTCTACATCCTAGGTTCTTTCCAGGGATCTATTTTTTATTTGTTCTTTTTTTGGGGTATATATTTTTAAAATTTATCTTTTTTGTTGAAAGTATTACAGATATCCCCTTTATTCCACTCATTGACCCCCCCACCCCAAGGCCTTCTGTACTATTGTCTGTGTCCATGGGTTATCTATCTACACTAATGAAAGAGAAAGATGCAAATTAACCGTCACTCCACTACACCCACAAGCCATGCCCACTAGCCAATCAGGAGTGAGTATGCAAATTAACCCAACTAAGATGGCGGCGGCCACGGAGCTGGAGCGAGCAGGAGGCTTGGATTGCCCCCGGTGATGGAGGAAGCCAAGCTTCCTGCTTGCTCTGGCCTGCCCTGGGCTCCGCTCAAGGCTACAAAGTTTCAATTATAGAAGATAAATCCCAGATACCTGCTTCCAGCCCGCCAAAAAAAAAAAAAAAAAAAGGAGAGGGTGGGAACTTGAGTCGCCAGGGGGCGTGGACAGTCTGAAAACGGTCATTAGCCCCTCACCCAGGTTGGCCAGGCACCCCAGCGGGACCCCCACCCTGATCCAGGACACCCTTCAGGGCAAACCAGCTGGCCCCCACCCATGCACCAGGCCTCTATCCTATATAATAAAAGGATAATATGCAAATTGACCCTAACAGAACGACTGGGAATGACTGGTCACTATGACACACACTGACCACCGGGGGGCAGACGCTCAATGCAGGAGATGCCCCCTGGTGGTCAGTGTGCTCCCACAGTGGGAGCTCTGCTCAGCCACAAGCCAGGCTGATGGCTGCCAGCACAGCGGTGGTGGCGGGAGCCTCTCACACCTCCTCAGCAGCTAAGAATGTCCGACTGCAGCTTAGGCCTGCTCCCTGCTGGCAAATGGACATTCCCCAAGGACTCCCGGGCTGCCAGAGGGATGTTTGACTGCCAGTGTAGGCCCAATCCCCCAGGGAGCGGGCCTAAGCCAGCAGGTGGACATCCCCTGAGGGGTCCCAGGCTGCAAGAGGGCACAGGCTGGGCTGAGGGGACCCCCCCCCCCAAGTGCACAAATTTTTGTGCACCGGGCCTCTAGTATATATATAAAAGCCTAAGCGACCAGCCGACCAGCCGGTAGCTATGACGTGCACTGATCACCAGGGGGCAGACGCTCAACACAGGAGCAGAAAATACAGGCATGGAAACATGGATCAGGCTGATGAATCTCAGAGGGAAGGGAGGGGGCGGGAAGAGACTAACCAAAGATCTTATATGCATACTAGAGGCCTGGTGCATGGATTCCTGCACCTGTGGGGTCCCTCAGCCTGGCCTGCGGGGATCAGGCCAAAACCAATTCTCTGGCATTCCCCAAGGGGTCCCAGATTGCGAGAGGGCGCAGGCCAGGCCAAGGTACCCCACCGGTACATGAATCCGTGCACCGGGCCTCTAGTGCTTATATAAGCTCTTTGGTTAATCTCTTCCTGCCCTCCCCACTTGATAGTCCATTTATAGTGATAGAATTATATTTCTTTTAAGTCCAAGGACACTTGTGATTTTTTGAAACCATCCTATTGTCTTCCGGCTTAAACATGGCCATCAACTATGTATCTGATTTTGATGAAAACTTCATGAATGTGTCAAAAGAGAGAAAGAGACTTTGAAAAATTAAGTATTTTACACAACTTAGGCAAGATGCTTTTTTTTTATTTCATTCTTTCACCAAATACAGATTCAGTTCCTCAGATATTTTACTAAGAACTGGGGATATCAAGATATGTGCAGTGTTACCTTTAAATAGCTTGAAGTATAATTGAGGGGAGGGTGTTAGTTATAGTTTTAGTGTGGTATCACCTTTTTATTGATCATTGAATATATGATTCTGGAATTTAGGGGAAAGACTAGGACTGGAGATAAATATCTGGGAATTAGTAGCATAAAGAGGCATTTAAAGCCATGGAACTGCATGAACTCACTCATCAATAGTGATTAAGGCCACATAGCTAGTAAGTAAGTGGCAGCTTTAGGATTCAAACTTAAATTTGATAGATCCCCCTCCCCCAATCTATTCTGCCAAACAAGATTACTGTAACATTTTTTCACATTTAGGTGGACTAACACATGTTTTCTCAAAAACTTGTATCACTGTAGGACTAATCGCAGTAATTACCAGTAGTTCATAATTATCATGGTTATCTTAATGTAACATAGATTGGTGATGCCCCACTTATAGGCCATTAGTTGTGAGGTAAATTTCATTTTCTTATAGAGAAACCCCCCTGTAAAAATTTTTGTTGAAGCCAACTTCATTTTTACAGTTAAGTCACTTTAAAAATGGTCAAATTAAAATGATATATTGTTAGTATATGATTGGGTAATCAGGTACCATTTTGTTGTCCCGGCACCACAGTAAAATTCTCTGTGCTTTGCCAACATTTTGTCTATGCATCTATTAACACATTTACTAAATTCTGTTGTGGTAATTTGTGTCTATGTTTTAGAATATCTTTCTTGTTTTTATCTCTAGCATCTGGCACAGTTCTGGCACATTGGCAACATGCTGTATTTATCTAGTGAACAAACTAATAAATAAAATGAATATGATCAAACATACCAATATAATTTTAACACATTTAAATAATACTACTAATTCAAAAAGCAATCCACATACTAGCAAATCATAGTTTAAAATTATTTTTGCATATCTTATAACAAACTCTAAGTTAAAACAATAAATTCTATCAAGTTGGGTAGAATTTCTTTCTATGATTTTTTCTTTTAAATAGATGAATAAAATGTTTTTAAAAATAGTATATACCCTACCATACAAGTTAAACACTATGTTACTCTCATTTCTACTTTTGTTTTAGGCCTACTGAACTAGATGCACTGGTATTTGGCCATCTGTACACCATTCTTACCACACAATTGACCAATGATGAACTTTCTGAGAAGGTGAAAAACTATAGCAACCTTCTTGCTTTTTGTAGAAGAATTGAACAGCACTATTTTGAAGATCGTGCTAAAGGCAGCTCATCTATTAGATTGTCTTAGAGTTATGTGTTAATTTAGTTGTTACTAAAAATTTAACTTTTGAAATCTGTTACTTGAATGATATGTGAATGGTATCAAAATTTTAAAACCAAAACACTGCTTTTGAAACCTCAAAACAAATTATATAATGTATCTTGTACATGTACTTTATACTGTTGTTTATGTACAAATTGAAATAATTCTGAATGACTCCATTTGATATGTTATACTCTGTATCTTGGAAGTTTTGTTTTCTTGAAACTTGTATGCACATAAAAATAAACTTTGAACAACGATATGGCTGCTATATTTGCTTGATCTTTCTGAGACTCATTTTCTGAGCTTCATACATGAAGTAAACAGTGTCTTTTCTCAGGCAAGTAGTTTGTGTTTCTACGCCCAAGATTATTTTGCTAGCTACATGGTAAACCTGGTCATAGGAAAAATGTTCCTAATGAGTATACTCTTGGAAAATGTGAATGATTACAAGGTGATGAAAGCCTTGAGCAGATGACCATTTAAGAACATTCTTCCTGTCTAAGCTTAATTGACTTGGGGTGGTGAACACACAACACAGTGTACAGATGATGTGTTGTAGAATTGTGCACCTGAAACCTGTATAATTTTGTTACCCAGTGTCACCCCAATAAACTCAAAAAGGAATAAAAATAAACTTAAATTTAAAAAAATTAATCAGAGCAGCTATAATTTATATTGATAAATTTAAAACTTTTTTTGAAACTTTGAGATAATATTTTAATAATGCTTTTTTATTCCTTTTGTGGGGAAGGGAGGATAGTGTTCACACAAGTTATCAATAAGAGTTTATATATAAGCAATAAGGATTATATGTGTCCTTTTCAATTTTTCTAATATTTTACATAAAGCCAGGGATGCTATAAAGAGTCAGATGTAAAAATAATTTCTATAATAATATTACTTTTGTATTTTTAGGTACCAGGCATTTTTAACTCATTTAATCCGTACAAAAACACTGCAAAGGTTGTTATCCCCAAATCAAAAAAGAGGAAATGGAGAGAGAAAGGGTAATACCTTGCACACGGCCGTAGAGTTATAAGTGGTAGAGTTGAAATTCAAACGCAGGCAGTGTGGCATCTGTTTGGCCTTTAACCCCTTCCCCAATAATTTTTTTGTTAAAAACGTTTCTTTTTCAGACTAATTTTTTTATTTTGGTTCTATATAGTATTTTTGATGCTGGTTATGAAAACAGTTTGTAATTATTTTTTCTTCCCATTTTTGTGGTTAAGAATAGTATTTCCTCAGAAAGTTTCTAGATGAAATTATTTAGAATGGTACGTATGTAGCTGGTTTTTGAAGGTAAAGTTTTTAGACGAGTATACTCGTCGACGACTGAAAAAAGAACATTTTGTGAAAACGTGTATACACGTTTCTGCCGGGGAAGGGGTTAAGGAACACTATACTTACTTTTTTTGAAGATTATAAATTTATACCATATAAGGTGTACATTATAGTCTCCTTAGTCTAAATCCCCCATAAACTTTGGGCTCTCTCTTTGGACTACAGTGCTATTTATTATAGCTTCCATGAACTAATTTTTGTAATGTGTGTTGTTTTTAAAATAAAAAAATCCCACGTTACCTGCTTTTGCACAATTTTTATGACAGGCTTATGTATATATTCTTAATCTTTGCACAACTTTTATTTATAACAGGTTTATATATATATGTATGTTTAATCCTCACTTTTTACTGATTTTTAGAGAAAGAGGAAGGGAGAGACAGAAACATCCATTGGTTTCCTTCCATATGCACCCCGACCTGGATTGAACTGGCAACGTAGGTATGTGCCCTGATTGGGAATCAGACCTGCAACCTGCAATCCATACATTAAAATTAATTCAATATGGACTATACACTTAAATGATGTAAGAGCTAAAACAATAACACTTCTAAAAAAAAAATAGAAGAAAATCTTTAGAACTTTGGATTAGGCAAAAAGGTTTTTTAGTCATCAAGTAAATGTAATTAAACCACATGAGGTAAAATATGTTTTAACTGAAGAAATTGATGCTTAGATAATTTGTGATTCTTGAAAAATCTCTGGATGTACAGGGTGGGGCAAAAGGAGGTTTATAACATCAACAACTGTAAACCTATTTTTGACCCACCTTGTATTTAGCCACGTATCTCAATCCATGCTAATTTTTCATCTCCCCGGGCCCCCCACCTTGGTTGTCATTATTTACATCTCCCCATTTAGTCAGGGATCGCAAACTTACTTGAGAAGCCAGGCATATGGTGATGAGAGTGAGACAGACTGGATATTAAGACAATAGGAATGGGGGGGGGGGGCTGTGCCAAACTGGAGAATGCATATCTCCACCTAAACCATTAAAATAACCTAAAAAATTAAAACAACTTGTCTGCCAAACAAATACGCCTGCAAGCCATATTCAACTGGTTGACCACCATTCATTGACTTAAAATATATTGTACCATTTAAAGAAGTTTCTCAGGAGGCAAGGAGTATCCAGAGAAGCTCTTCAAACAATACATATTCCCTTTACCAGCTGCCTAATTGATTACTCATATACTACCTTGATATCTATTGCTAAGCGATAATAATTACGATGATGGCCTTAGTTACTGGCCATTACTAACAGTTTTCTTTTTGCCAGAAGAGAATGTTAATACTGCTATGGGCTTTAGCAAAACTACATTTGTGCACAATTGTGTTATTAGAGAAATAACCATATGTACCTCTCAAATGACCCATATTAACAATGACAAATACTTCGGCAAGAATTCTATTTTCTCATTTATTAGTCATTCATCCATTCATTTATCCATTCAATAAATACTTAAATGTATGCAAAAATGAGTTAGTGGTTTCTTTTCTCAGAAGATACTTAAAATTTAGTATTGGGAGGGAGAAAACTCTAACACTGGTATTCGCATGGCGAACGTGGCTGAGATGGGCTTAATGAAGCCTCCCTGGATCAGCTGGGCTGCTAGCAAACGCTCCATTTCCTGGGGATTTCTTCCTCACAAGCTGAGCGGAGCTTCAGCAGTTCTCACAACAATGATCACCCACTTGTTCTGTAGGTCTCAAGTTTTTTTTGCATTAGTCAGGTTGAAGGATTCATGGTATTAATCACGACTGAAGTTGTTATTTATCACCTGCTGGGTGAGAAATAATAATTTTGGCACTAGTGGGGCAGCAGGCCAGAGGTACCAAATTAAGTAAAACATCTAAACACTAGCAAGGATCATTTCTCTGATTAATGAATTGTTACAAAGAAAAAGTGCTACTCATTATCTGGTCTTACCAATACAAAGTGGAGCATGTAGGCAAAAAAAGTACTAGCTTGCTCAGACCAGTTTTTCTGTTTATTCTCTCTC